TAGAAAGTGTAAATAGTGCTGATCACTTTACAATGTTAAAATAGTATTATTTCACAATAACTTACATAAAGTTTAAATAGTGCTGGTCACTTTACAGTGTTAAAATAACATTATTTTACAATAACCCGTAGAAAGTGTAAATAGTGCTGATCACTTTACAATTTTAAAATAGCATTATTTCACAATAACTTAAATAAAGTTTAAATAGTGCTGGTCACTCCTTTACATATTCTTATTTTCAGTATCCCCATTTAGTATCAGTCTTTAACAAACTAAGACACTTGTATGGAGAAAAACAACAAACATTTTATTTCAACACAGCTCATGTAACATAATATCATTGTAGTTTTTTACGTGAAGGAATGATTTTAATTACTTCATTTTTACCATGGTTTTCAACGATTATATTTTTGTCTTTTACGAAATGTTTAAAGCACCTAACCTGGATAGGGCACACTTTAAAATGTAATATTAACCACGAGTTTTCTAGCCACACACTAAGCCTTTAGGTGAAGTCCCTGGGATAATACGTCATCTCAACAACTGAATTGTCGTTATTGTAAGGATTCAAAATATACTTAAGACCATTCGTGTTTCGTAATGTGTGTTCAGACTTTATCCTTTAATGGCTCAAAGAAAACGAAAAGGACGATATCACGTTTGACCTTTCCATCCACTTGTAATTTTTTTTATACAAGTGATAAGTTTTATTCTTACAGTAAGGTAACAGAAATATGATAAAACTTTTTTTTTTCTGCACATATATTGATAAGTAGATTTCGTGAATAATTTGAATGAAGATTCGTTTAATATCGTGAAAATCCTAGCAGTACGTAGTTTGTACAGACAGGTAAAAGTCGAGCAACAGACAAGCATGTAGAAAATAAGATGTATATATTGGTTTGTTAACATAACTAGTTCATCGATACATAAATGTTTAAACTTTAGAAACGTGTACTGGATGGTTATCTAAGATTAGTTTTTTATGTTTTGTTCACTCTTTTATTAATATTTCCATCATATATACTCCATATACAGATTATATATTATCTATTATCGCGCTCCAAAGAAGACAAGTAGCATTGCTAGTGGTTAGTGGTCTTCCTCGAGAGCTACACTGAGTCTTTCCCCACTATCAATTCTCCACTGGGTTCTTGATTAAGTTCTTCACCTGAACATATCGCTATTTATTCCCTCCAGGAAGCTGTGATATAAATCACAGAATGTAAATGTACGGGGAAGTAAATAACGCATGCCCTGAAGATCCTTGTGTAACTTCTACCATTACATGGGGTGGATAACTAGTAATTCTTGTAAGATTTCTTTCTCTAGAAAGAAAACTTCCAGTATTCATTGTTACTGACCTAATTAGGCCCCACTTCTTCTAAAAGTTCACTAATTAGAGTGTCAACTAAGTAAACATTTGAAAGACAAGCATGATATATGTGGTATCACGTAGCTTTAAACGTTCCGTCTCAACAACATGTTTCCTTGGATTTAGTCCCCCCAGTGGCAGAGTGGTATGTCTGTGGATTTACAACGCTAGAAACCGGGTTTCGATACCCGTGGTGGGCAGAGGACAGATAGCCGTTTGTGTAGCTTTGCGCTTAACTACAACCAACCAGCCTTGGGTTTCATTTCAACTGTTTATATAGGAAAATATTATCCTATAAAAGATTTTTTAATTCTGTAATGATAGACTTATAGGAATGGTCAAGAAGACTAGAGCTGAAGCTCCATATTTCAAAACTAGCTAATTTTATTTCTTC